GGACTCCTCCCTCTGTTTTCAAGTCACTGAGCAGATCTTCTTCCATGCATTCCCGGCATCGGGTGGCATCCCCAGTTGGCATGCAGCTGGCGGATGTGCGGCGTACTGGAACTGAAGACTATCTGGTTGCAGACAAGCGGCCTTTGCAGACGGGAGGCTTGATCAGTGAGTTGGATACAACTGTACAGTCTCGGTAAGTCTTTGTTTCTTCAGGGTGGCGGAGCTCAGATGGCTTAATTGGCCAAGGTCTGAGCTTGTGGTAGCTTAGGGAGAGACAAGTTAGTGTTAAATAAGGCTCTCTTTTGCTAGCCATAAAAGTACAAGGTAGTTGTGACGAGACCAATCTCGCCACTGTGCATTGGAGGAGCCTGGTTGCCCACCTGCTGCCTTTGGATTATGGACCGGCAGCTAAAGGGTTAATTTTACTGTGCAGAAGGATTTATTTCTCCCTTTCTGCACAGCCGTTCGGTAGATTCTATCTACCGAACAAACAGTTTCTTTTCAGCCTCCCCAGAGCCGTGGGAAGCCGGCCGGCGACCTTAATTGGCCACCCAGAAGCTGGAGTGCACCCTCCATTTACCTCCTTGAAGCCGTGGTTAAGCGCGGCTTAACGAGCGTGTGCCGGCAATTGACCACCCAGTAGCTGCGGTTAACCGCAGCTTAATTGACTGTTACTGGGTGGTCGCGGTTACACCTAGCCGCCACACGATGGCGATGTTCTGGAGCTCCCCGGGCAGCCAGCGCTTTTCTGCCTGGCTTTCCTGCATCAAACCCGGACACTTTTACGTGCAGGCACCGCTGAACCTCCATCCCCTGGTTCTAATTCGTACGGATTTAACGAATGCATGTAAATTCGGTATTTTGTGTTGGGGGAATGTTTTAACCCAGATAGCTATGCCATGGAGCCTGTTCGTGGAATTAAAGACTTTGGCTCCATGGCAATTAAACTGTATTCGTGTGGTCTGAGTGTCATTCACCTAATAATGTGCACTCAGACCTGAGCTATCTGGGGATATGTTACATGTATATATTTACTGTGCCATTTGTCCCATTATGTATTTTAAAGTTATAGTTTGTCTTTGTGTCCCCACGTGTGTAATGGAGTTTTGCCTTTGTCCTGGGAGATAATTGAATTACTTCTCCAGGGCAGAGGGGAGGAAGCCAGGATGCATTGTGGGGATGTTTTACTTCTGTATGTCTGTAATTGGTACATGTCTGTCCCTTGTCACAGTCTTCCATCTGGTCCCCTAGGGGAGTGTCCACCAGGTGGGAGACCTGCATAAATACTGGGCAGGTAGCCCTCATTAAACAGACCACTGCTTGACCCTCAACACGGAGCCTTGTCTCGTCTTTGGGGGGGGATTTACTGTATGCTGATAGAGACTGATTGCTAGGAGTGTAAGACGCTTGGGTGCTTTTCCTGTTCGTCTGCTAGCAGCTATTCATGAGGTTCCAGTTCGAGTGTTTGGAGCATTCCCTTGTATGCAGTTCGAGTGTTTGGAGCATTCCCTTGTATTCAATTCATGAGTTTTGGTAATTCTACAGTAGCTGTGCCTGTCTCTGAAAGGGGATTATCGTCTAAGCGGTTTTTACCCCTTTTGTGCAAAACGGTCCGTTACATTCGTTATATGT